TGTCAAGACGCTCTAGTATCTGTATGAAAGGCGCGAACTGTTGGTTGAAGCGTGGTAGCAGGTCGGTTGTGAGGGGCTCTTCGCGCAAAAGACTCGGTGTCACGCATCGCTTGCACAAGAAGCCACCATCACGGTCTGCGTTGTCGATGACATCGATCAACGGCCAACTGCTGAGGCATTTGGGACAAGTGTAGTATCTCACGATCTCTGATGAGGATTCCCGCTTGTTTGTACCGAGAATTCGGCGTCTTAGTTCGTGGATAGTGTATTGAGTGACGTAAACGGCTCGGTGGTAGACGACATAGACGTATAACTCATCTTCGTTGAGCTTCCGTCTGAGGAACTGTCAATACGGGCAAGAATGACACAGATTCGCCAACCTCAGAGTTAGCTACATGCTATGATGAGGTGTGGTGGACTATTACCTAAATACACTCACGTACAAATGAGCCTTGCCCGCTCCAGCTCAACGCATGCCTGTCTTAGCGACGCGTGGTCAGGTGTGATGGATAAAGAGCGTAGTTGAGTCATTGATAGACTAGATTCAAGGCGTGATGAGTCTGCTTATCGTGATCTCTGCGTCTCGGAGACATACATTTCGTGATGTAATAAGACATCAATTACGACGGTTTGTTCGGAGCTGTAGAATGCGCGCACGGCTTGCCTGACGAGTGTTTTGGCGTTATCCATGGCGAGAGTGTTGTTTGGCGTTGTTGGCTTTGCTGCTCCTTGAGGAAGTCATCCACGTCCGATGTCGAGGTCTGCGTTGCGTCATGTGAGCGTCTCGCCATCGGTGTGTTGGTGGCTAAGCCTATAACGATGTTTGGCGTGACCAAAGGGGCATATCAGCTATACTCCACCTCTTCGACAGATGATCAGTTGTAATATATTCACCAAACGATATTTACTTATATTCTCCTCATAGCCGGAAAAGTGGGATCTGAACAGGTGAGCTCATGACCTGAAAACTCGGATTGCAAAATTGTAGCCAGTATCTAACAATAGTGCAGCCATAGTCAGTGATTCCTGTGATACGCATGTAACATAACATCATTTCCACGCGCGGCGTTATCGTCGGATACCATGATATAAAACTCCTGATGTGATTGCATCAAGGCCAGATGAATGACTGATTGGGTAGGAGTGAGAAGGAAAGTGGTTTCTATCCTATCACAATGGATCTCGGTCGACTGGATTTTGCATCTGGAAGGGGCCGCGGTCCGAACACCTCAATTCGAGTGAACGTAATCTTCCCTGCTCGGGCATGACAAGATATTGAGCCTGGAAGGCTGCTACAAAATCGAAAATAAAAACTACACGCCATCGAGCTCGCCACGCTGCGAATCGCGCCTCGAGTAGTGGAGGCTCAACGCCTAGTATTCGCTTTCACTAGTCTACGGGTTGAAAACGGCGCTGGGTTAAATCGAGATATACTGTTACACTCAAAACGGAATAATAACAAGGATGTAACTGAATCACGTCATAATTCTCTATTAATGGAGAAAAGGCTTTTAGCGCCGAGGCGCATTCTCTGGATAGGCATGACAGCTTCGTACAGCTAAGCTTCGTACTAATTACGCAATTCAAGATAACGAAGCAAAGCTGTGAGAGTCACGGCTGTAGAGATCAGGTTCGTAGATGGATTGTGATGGCCCGTAGGGTCCGGTCTAGATACATACATACATACATAGTTTATTACGCCCTGGCTAAGCTATTCAGGGCTCGTGTGATTATCTACATGATCTCCACCTTCGTTCATATCCTTGTCTCCCAGAGGCCCATACGAGTACAGTCTATCCACATATGCATAACCTTCAAGATTCCTTGCCAATGCTGCGGTTGCTCGTGGTGTTAGTAACAGGCCATCTTGAGGTTGTCTCCCAAAGTGTTCGGCGTCCTATCGTCGGCGGCCGAAGCCAGTCCTGCTGTCGGTGGCACGAGGGTGCGTGGGGGGTGTCGTCGGTTAGTGTGTTGATGTAGGTTGTGTGTGGTTTCGCTGCTGGTTGATCTGTGCATCCAGTCTCTCTGTACCCAAAGCAAACTTGATGGTTTCTTTGACAACATCTACGTTTGGCGACCAGTCATCAGGATCGGACGCGCTCTTTCCTCCGAGAAAGTACGACAGATTCCCTCTATGCAACTCCGTCTGTTGAAGCATCTGGGTTCGTTGTGCCGTCCACTGTGTGCAACGGAAGAGAAAATGCTCGACCGATTCTGCCGCTTGCCCGCAGGCGCATTGCGCCGAGGCAATTGCACCGATCTGGTGCAGGTACCAATTCAGTCTTGCCATGCCGGTGCGCAGTTGTGCCAGGATACTGGCTTCTTTCCAAGAGAGCTCGTCATATAGGTCACATGTATGCCTTCCTGGTAAAGCGACGTCGATCTTTTTTGAATGTGCTCCTACGTTGTTGGGTAAAGCTCCGTACTTCTGTCGCACGCTCTGTAAAGCGATCCTAAGTGCCGTCGAGTGGGCTCTAGCAGGTCGTTTCTGCGGTGTCTTGCTCGGTCTCGTGCTTTCCTTTGCTGCAGCTTTGGCCGCTTGCACCAGGTCTGACTCTACAGCTGATGGGAGCCAGAAGAGCGTGAACCTGTTGCCTCGTCTCTGCAGAGCTTGCATGCTGGAGTATAGTTGTCGGACCTCTTGTTGGCCTGATTGCTGCCGCGGGTTACGGATGGCTAGCACAGCCGCTTTGTTGCGGGTGAACACATGGATAGCCCGGTAGTCGAGCCTCTGCGGGAGAGACTTGATCGCTTCTGCCAGTGCCGCTAGCTCTGCCACATACGGGTTCTGCTCTGTTCTCAGGCCCAGTGTGCGCGAGGCCGTTATCACGCCGCCACCCCCTCTGAGTGACGCAGGCAGCGTTGTGGTCGTTCCATAGCCCACAACCCCGTTTCTTGCCGAGCTCCCTGTCGCTATCCTCACTGCCCACCCGGACTGGATTGCTTCTGTGACCTTGACCGCGTCGTCGTCGACTACTGTATCAATACGACGTTCCCATGGAGCGATCGAATACCCTTCGATGGTCTCCAGCTTGTCAAGAGGTTGGTCGCGGTAGGCCTCCGCCATCAACTGGAAGGGTGATGGAAACCGTCTAAAGGCCACCGCCCGCAGACGTCGAAGCGGATGGGTCTTGGGAAGGCTTCGCATCCGTACCCAGAATGTCGTTGATTTTCTGTCGTATCTCTCTTGCGCCGATTGTATGCTTGCCTCCGCTTCAGCGACCGCTGTGGCCACTGAGTTGAAGGTTCCCACGATCGCTTGGGCGCCTATCCTCTGCACTCGGTTGATCGCCCTCATCTGCGCTGCTCGACATCTGTATCTCCAGACATTCGACGCGAAGTCCATTGTCGGTGCCACGGCCGCAACGAAAAGCTGTCTGGCCGTCGCCGGTGACAGACCTTTGAGGCGCCTGAGCCCCAGCACGGCGTCAAGCCCTTTTGTCGTCGCGTCTGCGATGTGCTTTTCGAGGCGAAGTTTCGTGTCCATCGTCACCCCTAGCACCTTGACGTGGTCCTTTGCTCGGACAGTGTCCCCTTTGATGACGAAGCTGGTCGAGTCTGCCGGCAGCCTCCAGTTGCGCGTGAAGTGGATGATGGCCGTCTTGTCCGTCTCGAAGGTCGCCCCGCTTCGTCGTTCCCACTCAAGTGCTCTGTCGATGATGTTCTGGATGCCTTCCCGGTTTGCTTCTTGCGATCGACCGGTGACACACGCCGTGTAGTCGTCGACGAAGGCCAGCGCGCCCCCATTCTCGTCGATCTGGTGTTGTACGAGGTCGGCGTTAAAGAAGAGGAAGAGCACGAGCGAAAGTGGCGAGCCCTGATGCAGCCCACTTGCTAAGCCAAGATATCTTGGCAACCGTGGTTTCGTTTTCTCGGCTAAGTGCCTCCGCAGCTTCGGCCCTGACATCGCCCTTCTCATCCAGTACCTCGGTTCTCTTCACGTTATCATTCTTCACGGGGTAGAGTTCGTCCTGTAGAACTCGTGTGCCGGGACCGAAGCTCTTCTCCGCGATCTGCTTGACAAGCCTGTGTTCAGCATCGTCGCGACACATGATACGGATCCCATCCACGTTCCTTGGGTCTACTGTGATAGCCCGACAGCGCCAGCTACCCTGTCCGTCCATCGCGCGCATCTCCTTCTCCACCGCAGTCCGGATCCGACCTGCGTTGAGCTTGCCGCTGCCTTCTTCCACTCTTGATGTGTCGACCGTGCAGCATAAGGGGTCGCTGTGGCTCGGCAGCATCGTATTGCCCGGCATAATCACCCTGGAATCGCGTGCTTGCCCGACTAAGCCGCTTCGGACGGCGTGTGCGTACGACATACTCGGGCTGTTCTGCATCGCTGGAACTGTCGCGAGTGCTTCGAGATTCTCGTTCGTCTTGGCGCTTTCGTCCCCCACGCGTTGCTTCATCGCTTGCAGCTCTCCTTTGACGGCCTGTAGCTCGTTCTTGACTGTTTGAAGCTCCGACGTAACTACGCGAAGCTCTGCCTCAACGTTTTGGTTTAAGATTTCCGACTTCTTCCACGCATCAAACGCGATCTTGATCGCTGCGTGTAGCTCTTTGATCTGCTTGCCCATTGTCAGGAGCAGCCCTTTATCGTCGTTGTCAACGGGCTTCACGCGTTCCTTGGCCAGAGTTGCGGCTCGAGTAGTGGTCGCGCGTCGGCCGCTGCCAGCAGTCTCGGCCGCTCGCTCGATCGCATCTTCGGTGATTTCTTGGTGAGTCTGGTTCAATCGAACTTTCGCGGATGGTTTTCGCATCCTTGGTGATGCCAGGTCCTCGTCGCTTGCTGCCGTCACCTCCCTCGCAACGGTGATGGACGTCGAAGCTAGCTCGCGATCCATCGCGTCGGGACGTGCGTAGAGTCGCCACGCGGTGGATCATGCTAGTGCCACGTAGCGCGTTCCGGAGCTTCTCGACAGCGATCAACTCAGCAACGTTAAATGATTATTCACTCCTGTCCGATTGTCGTCTTTTAGTAGAAATCGAAATCCCCACTCCTGATTGTCCACACCCTCCCATGCACTCCATCGTTCCCAACGAACATAACGACCGACGAATTAGCAAGGGGGACTTTTGAGCGATACCATGGTCACGCAGTGGCCACGAGAACAGATTTATTCACTGAATTCATCGGTTGCAGTGAGAACTTTGGGCAATAAACATGGTTCTCAGCTCTTTAGCTGAGCGATAAATTTAGCACATAGTTCAGTAATGAAAAGTTTTGGGTACCAGAGCGATGATGCGGGCCACATTTGGACAAGTTTGCAAACGATAACGATGATTTTATTGTGACCTCACCCTGACTACCGAGTCTCACGGCGCATTCGATGCCGCCCGCTAGCTCGCAACAACGCACCGGCACAACGGACATGTCTCTCCGCTGAATCCAAGCCACCGGTCGATACAATTATTGTGAAAGACATGCAAACATCTGAGTTGCTTAATGGTGTGCAGTTGATCTAATGATTCCAAGCATATGCTGCACTCCGATTCGTCGGACACGATTCCAGCGGTGGCTTGTGAAGAGCTGGATCGAAGTCGCTTCAAAAGTGCTTGAATAGATTCCTCTTCTGGTAAGCAATACCAAGCAGCCACCGTGGTACGCAAAGCTTCCGGCCGACCCCTATTCTCGTAGACAAGAGCAATTCGGTAAAGGCATTTTGCGCGCAACTCCTTCTTCAAGCTGTGGCGACGAAGCAGGTCATTCGCCAAACCGTCTTCGATGACACCCTCAGCGACGTCGAACGCTTGTATTTTGATGCACGCATACAGCAGATTGGAAAAGCATTCAAGCACAAGCTGAGCTGCATCATCGGACTCTAGCTGGCGTGACCACCCCGTTATTTTGGGTACATATAGGGCTGAGAACCACAAGTCTGCAGCCTTGACCGCATCTTGCTGCAAAGCTTCTTTGCCTTCTTCCTTGAGGTACAATAACAGACCCTTCAGAGGCGCTTCAAGAGAGGATTGCGGAGGTGCGGTGCTGATATTGGAGCTGAACCTGCAGGATTCGGAGATGATGAGATGCTTAATAATATCACGCACCGATTCTGCAGCCTCGTCTTTCTCAACCGAGATGGAGAGAGCATCGACAGCATCAAGCTGGTTAAAGGTAAGGCATGATACGAGGAGCGGCAGAAGTCTGTCGTCAGCTGCGCAAATTAAATGCTTCGGATTGGTGCTTTGGGGAGAGGCATGCGTTAAAAGTATTTTGGTATTGCAGATGATGGAATTCTTCTTGACGCGGCCTCCAAATGTGACGAGGCCGGGAAAGTCATAGACGCCTGATACACATACTGAGTCCATTATAGTGGGAATGTCAACGCGAGAGTGTTTCGCAGCAAGGAACGCTTGTGGGTGGGCAAGTCACTAGTAATGTATTTATAGACAAAAATTTGAGTGCTCAATTTAGGAACCCTTTGCCTCCCCGGTTTCTGATGTCAGCAGCTACGGGTTTAGTGGGCGTTAAAAACCTATAGGCGAGCTAATCTATATCGCCGCCCTAGCAGGATCCAATTGGTGTAGCTTGAGGGCGCAATGTGCAGCCGCCCCTCGGCCGCCCCATGAAATGAATGTTCGTGGCACTGTACCGATATATTCGTATGAATTCTTTGTAGGGCATACTGTATTAGGTACTGCGCTCCACTGAGCAACCGTTTTGGAAAGGAATACTTGGCCTAGGCATCCGCCAGAGCCGTCCTATCCTTGTCAGGAGGTCGTTGACCAGGTCGATCTGCGGAGGCACGCGGTTTCAAAAAACAGAAAAAAAAGAAGAAAAAAAGACGCACTCTGCGAAGTACTACATGAAGATGCTACGTTTTCGAACTGATACTCCTCGACATTTAGAGCCCGGCAATTATAAAACAAATTCCGGTAGAAACTTGAAAAGCCGCAATTAGTGCTGACATTCTCGAGATACTTCATTTTCCTGTGGCAGCTCTCTATTTCATTACTATACTGTACCTACACTAATATTAAAGTGTGCGTCCTTTTTGTGCAAATTGCATGGGAAGGCGAGTTTTGTCGCACCTAGAAGCTTGAGCCATGGATATTTATTTAGACAAGCTGGTCCGTTAGCGCCGGGCTCTTACCCTAGCGGTAGCCGACTAAACTTACTGTACCAATGACATGCTGGGTCACGACCTGATTTCCGTAGCACGGTTTTCTAAGTGGCGGGTGTCAACCTGGCGGTGCTGTGATGTTTAGGCGTCTGCGAATCTGGTCGTGGTTCGGTTTTTGTACCCAACTTTGGGCGTTCCTTAGAAATCACAGGCTTTGAATCCTTGGTCTGATGCGCGGCGTGGCCGGAGGCTAGCGGCACCCAAGGCGCGCGCGGGCTTGCGGCGGCTAATGAGAGGGGGCGCGGCGCGGTAGCTGGGTGGGCGACGAGGGAGACGGCGGCGCACGCAGCATAGGGTCCTACCTAATGTACCCTGTTGAGGCGGAAGCAGTCCATGCTCAAGATACATGGCTTTCGCCACATCCACGCAGCTGTTTGCAGATTAAGCAATGCCATACTCAGACTGAGAGACGATACCGGACGACAGAGTCTGGACACTGGTTCTGAGAAGCTTTGGGCTCCATGACTTGCTCAAACAGTTCGAAGAGGAGCGGGAAATGCTGCCAACGGTAAGCGAGCCAAACCGATTCTGTATCAGCGGCATGACTGACAAGTGCGTTAAGGAAATGCGTCCGGCGCCGTCCGCGACTAGATGATTGCGCCGTGACCCCAGGTTTACAACCTTCCATTGCGCGTACATCAACGAGAACACCCAGTTCGACTTGCATAATGCATTCCCAGAGGAGGAGACCGAAGACCATTTATATAAACTCTTTGCGCATGTCAGCCCGCGCGTGACTCTCGCGCTACACGAGATATCGTCCCGCTGGAGCTTACCCTCGAGATGCGGACGAAGGTAGCTCAACGCGAATGGCACATTGTCAAGGAATATCGCGAGTACTACTTCTACAACCGCCCAACCTGAGACATCGAAAGGCAAGCTCGCGGCGAGGAAGATGAGGAGTATGCCAGGTCGGAGATCGACTTACGTATTCCTGAGCGTGCCCGACTCGCTGAGATCCTCTGCCGCCGGCCAAATGACTTGTCGAGCGAAGAATTACTCCCGCGAAGGATCGAGGCTATCGATCTTATGGTGGCGGTCTGCTAAAAGAGAGAGGCAGTCAAACCGGACCAATTCCGACTCCGTTCTCAAGCTAAGTCACCCGTTGCAGAAGACCTTCCCAAACCAACATCTTTCTCTCTGCTCATAGATTCGATCAGTGTCCAGATTGCCGGCGACGAGAGGCGCCCAGTCGATTAATGCACGTTCAATTACTGCCGGATAATGGTCAGGAACGACCACTTCGATGACCAGATTGAACCTATGTTCTCAGCACTGAATGCGTGTAGACGGCATGTGCAGCTCAACACGGGGTTCCACTCAGGACGTCAGAGCAGGTGAACCAACGCTTTACTACGCTCGCTTGCACATCAGAACCTGGGATGTCCTGACCATTTATTCTGCATGGTAGCTAGCACGATAGACACCTCAACTCTTCTCCCCATAGCATATAGCTCAACTCGCATAGCTTGTTGCACTACATACTATTCCATCGAATAAGTCTGCCTAGCCAAATGTGTCACTCGTCCTTCTCCACCAGCGCGAGCGTAAGCCCCTCCTCCCCCATCATCCGCCTCTTGACCCTTTCGATCCCTCCGGACTCCGCCTGGACCATGCCCCAGCCGTACATCTCGAGAAGCTGCCCGGCATATAAGCAGCACCCGCCCGTCGTCCTTGCGTATCGCTCCCCTCCTCCTCGATTCTCCTCCACGCCCCGCACATCTCCTGCGGCAGCCCGCACTCGAAGCACCCTGAAAACTGCTCTAGCCGCCTCTTGCCGAATATCTCCCGCTCCGCCAGTGCGATACCCCTCTCCACCTCCATCCAGTCCTCCGCCCGCCCGTGATCCGCGCAGTCCGCCATTGCGTAGTCGCGGGGCTGTTGTCGGCACCAGCAGTACACGCACCACCGACCCCACGTCTCCAACAGCCCCCATAATCCCTCCACCTGCTCCGGCTCCCGCGTACGGTCCCGCTCGAGGGCGCGCCGCGCCGCGGCCGTCCTACATTCGTCGTCTTCGAAAGCGCGCACGCACCCCTCCGACACCGCCTCTTCCGCCGCGCCCTGCTCGAGCACCCCGTCCACGTCCTCCGCCCACCTCCGCTGCTGGCATCTGTCGCATGGCGCGTCCCCCGCCTCGCACTCGATCCGGACCGTCCGCCCGTCCATGACCCGGTCTAGTACCACCCGCCGGTACTCGCGGGTCCGTGTGAACTCGTCCGCTACGTCCGCGTGGCCCCCGCTGCTGCTGCCAGCACCGCCTCAGCCCGAGGCTGCCGCGGCATGTCGGCGTGGATCACGAGACGTACTTCCGGTACATCGATGCCGAGCCCCAGCACGTTCGTCGCGACGACCAGCCCCTCGGCGGCACCGCTGCCGTGTTGCCGTGCTGCGAGCCGGTCGGCCTTGCCCTGGCTTGTGTCGATGTCGCTGTCGAACGCCGGACATGCCAGCGCCGCGCTCAGCCGCTCCACCCTCGCGATAGACATGGCGTAGATGAGCGTTTTGCCAGGCTCGCCGTCCGCCAGCCACTTCTCTGCGACGCGGCAGCACGCCTCGTCGATGTCGTCCCGTCGCCTCTCCTCTGGCCCTCTCTCCCTGCTCCGCGAGCCCGGCCAAGCGAACTGGAACCTTTGCCACCGTCATCGCCCCGCCCCTTGACCGTCACCCCGCTGTACTCGATGTTGCCCCTCGTCGTCGGGTGCCGGAACAGCTCCGCCCGGCCTCACTTCATCCCCATGAGCCCGGAGAATGCGTACTCGTTCGCCGATGCCAGCGTTGCCGACAAGCATACTACCTGGACGCCGAACTCCCGTATCGCTGCGCCGACCTCGCGCAGCTTGGGCCGAAACGACCGCGTCCCCTCCAGTATGACGTGGCACTCGTCGACCACCACACGGTCAAGCGCTTGGCGCGACCCGAGCCCGGCTACGAAATCCTGGAACCCCTTACTGATGACGGACTCGGGCGTCACGAAAATGACGGACGCTGCCTGGTTGTTTTTGTGGCTGAGCCATAGACGATGCGATGCCGGACTTTGTACACCGCGCGTCCAAGTCAGTCCGTAACGCGGTGAGTGTTGTGATGACGATCGTGACGCCGTCCGGCGAGCAGAACGCTGGCAGCATGAACGACAAGCTCTTGCCGCCGCCCGTGCCCATGATCTGCACGATGGGGCTGTGGCTGTTGACGATGTCTTGGGCTACCCTCTCCTGGTTTCCGCGGGACGTCGCCGTGTGGTTGCCCGTCATCTGCCGCAGCAGGCCTGCCACGTCGGTCTGCCGGAGCCTGGCGAAGCGGCGCAGCCGGGCCACGAGACGGACGCCGTCGTATAGCTCGACCTTCCGCTTCAAGCCGCCACTGCCGCCCCAGCTGCTCGCCTGGTCCTCCGCCTCGATTCCCAAGAACCGGTGCCACTGACCGCTGACTTTGCGGAAATGCTGCTGCTTAGCCGCCACGCCGCTACCGAGCTGGACGAGCAGCCGCGCGTAGATTATGCCGGCGATACACGTGCCCGGCCTGCAAGCCCCACGGGCTGTCGCCGAGCTTGTCGTTCTCGTCCTCGTCCTCGTCCCCTATTCTCCCGGGGTTCCACCGCCCGAAAGCCTCGTTCAAGATCCAGTTTGCGATAGCTATGGCAGAGTGCCGCCACATGCTCACATACAGCTTGTTCCCGAGCAGTCGGACGCTGTGCCGTTGTTTAATGCGTCTAGCCCGGTCCGTCGTCCATGTTCGGTCCTCCTTCCATGTCCACGTTGCCCTGCTGTCGTCCACGTCCTCGCCCGCATCCGCGTCCGCGTCGGCATCCGTTTGCCCGTCGGAGTCGCTGACGTCGGCGTCGGAACCTCCGCTCTCTTTCCTCCGTACAATTTCGTCGGCCTACAAGAAAACGCTGTAGTGATAGGCCTGCTTGGAGATGCCGTCCGCCTCCCGCCAGAACGGAAACACGAGCAATAAGTACCACACCAGCAGCTCGCCCGCCTCCCTGAGCAAGTCTCGGTGGATTTTTTTGGTCTGGCCGCTGCTCCGGTATCCTTTGTGGTACGACGTGACGAAACACATCATGCCGTTGTGTGCGAACATGTTCCTCACCCCGCCGTTCACCGTGTTGGCCACCCTCACACCGCCGATCTCTGTCGTCCGCCCCGGTCGGGCTCCCTAACATGTGCATCATCTGCCAGAGCCGCTCACGGAACTGCTCAAATGTACACCCACGAGCGCGGATCGCCTTCGCCCCTATCTGATCGTCCTGCAGCTTGTTGTACAAATACACTACTTCAGCAACAGCCACCATCTGTACACAGATAACATCCCTTTCAGCTCCTCTCTGCAATAAGCTTTGGAGAGGAAACGAACGTTCGTCACAGTATGGCCAAAGGGCGGGGGGACTTTATGCGTCCTTACCAAATGGACAAACACCAACAACCATTGTAGTTAACTCATCTAAGTCAGACAATCGCAGCAAAAAAAGAAAAGAAAAAAATAGCCAAGCAGGATGGGCTACTATCCGTTACCAACGCTAGTGGCGTTGAGCCTTTAAATTGGCTGACGTAGGTAACAGCCGCGATACAAAATACTATTGTATGTAGAGGTCTTCTGACCAGTCGGTTAGTAACCGATCTTTGAGGATTTAGCTTTTGATAACCAAGTGGAGACGCCGATGCGAGATAACATAGTTCCCGCGATTCACCAATCGGCATGGATTCTTTGCACAAAGCAAGCTAGAGAATGGGATGAAACCATACAGAGCGGAACAGGCGGCGCTGGGAAGGCGATCAACACTCACTGGCAGCATCCAGCTTCTGGTTCGGGCGGCTTTTGACCCACCTCGCAACCCCAGCTCGTAACATCCGGAACTGCTTGGCATGGAGAACACCGCCACTCCACCGTTCAGACTCTTAGACTCATCAGTGCCAACAGGTGCCGCAACTTGACCTCCCAGTCTCGTTTCGGGGTGATGGCGGGTGCCGTGCGTCTGAGAAAGGTCCCAGGGAGATGTCAGTTTCGTTACACCTCAGTAAATGTTGTGCGTCTTTCATCTACTAAAACCCGGTTATAGGATATTGAGCTTACTTCTGACCATGTAGGAGGTAGATATTGTTATTGGACGGAATGGTAGATGATAGGGCCCATGCGAAGGATCACACAGTGGTGAGCAATGATGAGTGTAAAGCATCATATGATCAAGGCCTACTGAAGTGCGATCTCGATGGTATTGATTAGGAGCACGGCAGTTGTAAAGGAGTGATGCGAGCAAACAGATACACATAACGACAGGAATAC